CACCAATGAACTCATGTCCACATATACCACCTTGCAAGCCAACTATCGGTTAAATCAACGGTTAACTACCAAAGCGCCATTCCAGAGATTTCTGTAAAAGTTTTAATGAGTTTCTTAAAATTGAACTGTCAAACCTCACCGAAACATTAGTGCACGCAGATCATTCATCCTTTCCCTATGCGTTGCACTCTGTGAATGTGTTAGTTTTTAGGCACATTATTTCAATGTTTTAGAGTTTTGGAACTCCTGATTTGCTGGGCCCCTGTATTTCCACATTGCAATATTTCTTACAAATTTCTAAGGCATTGAGTTTCCAAGTACGTAAACAAGCTCTTATTGTTATCAGAGACTTAAAGGTAATAATCAATGTGAAATTAAATTCAAGTCATGACAATAAATTAAGAAGTTTTTAATATATTAATAGAGTTTTGAACGTGTAAGGAGTACATATTATTTGAATACGCTATGTTAAACTATGTACCGGAATCTATCAGCTATGCCATGGAATGGGTATTTGCAATAAATAAACAAACTCTGGTATCACTTTCAAATTAATGCACAGCTGATATTGATATTGTGAAAAAATACAAAAGTAGCTGCGATTTTTAACTGCATCGCAGATGCAAATAGCATAATTTGTATCATTTAACAATTTCCTTCAACTATGAATCAACTACCAGACGACCATTTTCGTTATATTTATAGTTCTTCATTACATGAACAAGTGCAAATAAAAGTGTAAGTACGCATATCATTTGACCACTTTCAATTGTAAAGGGCGGATTCAACAACAATTTTATTGTATTATTACAGTGGTACATTAGAAGGTAAAAAACGTCAGCCAGATTTTGAAAAACTTTTAGAAGATCCCATTTTACGCTTTTCTGGTCTCTATTCGGAGGAGTGTCCGGCTTTTCAAATTCGTTTACAAGTGTTCAACAAAAATCGGCCCTACTGCCTGCCCGTAACCACCTCTTACAAAGCTTTCACCAAACGTTGGAGCTGGAATGAATGGGTGACACTGCCTTTACAATTTTCCGACTTACCACGAACTGCTATGTTAGTGCTAACAATTCTCGACTGTGCCGGTGCTGGTAAAACCACAGTAATCGGTGGTACAGCAATTTCTTTGTTCGGCAAAAATGGATTATTCCGCCAAGGTATGTTCGATTTACGTGTGTGGTTGGATGTAGAAGGTGATGGCAGTTATCCATCGAGAACGCCTGGCAAGGGAAAGGAGTCGTCAAAATCACAAATGCAACGCTTAGGAAAACTGGCAAAGAAACATCGTAACGGTCAGATGCATAAAGTCGATTGGTTAGATCGGCTCACATTCCGTGAGATAGAAGTAATAAATGAACGAGAAAAACGCATGTCGGATTACATGTATCTAATGATAGAGTTTCCTACAGCTGTGTTCCAAGAGTATTATAATGTAAGTCCATAGTAGCATGCATTATTTTTTATCAATATATTTACACTTTTACTATTTGCTCTCCAGTATTCCATTGTTTACTTCGAACCTGAAGGAGATAAAAGTCATAAAATACTGACAAAACCCAAATTGGTAACTGTGCCGGATTCAGATATATTGCAGGTATGTTGCATCATTCTTTTGGTCTGACGTTACGTTTTATAAACAACACTTAAGTTTAAGCGTATATTTTTTTCTTCGGAAAACAAAAATAATCACTTCAATGCCATTAAAAAGTGCGTTATTATGCTCTGAAATGTCACTGCTAAAGCTTTTTTAGCCTAAAACGCTAGCTTATTTGCCGTTGCTCTTTGATGTAAAATTGTGGTTTAAATGAAGACAAACAATCGCACTGTTAATACACTCACACACGTTTTTTCCTAAATTTTTATTTTACCCCTCACAAGGCTAGTAGAATCGATTTTCTTCATTTCACAAATTATTTATGCTAACTTGAATAAGTGCACGCAATCGTCGCAATATCTCGCCAAACAGTTTGGTTTTGCTTTTTAGCTTTCATACGCGTGTTACACTTGATTTCAGTATAAGTTGAGAATTGAAGGAAATTGTCATTTAGCCACGAAACTGTTACGTTTAAAGATTAAAATCTTGAAATTTAAATTAGCATATGATCGGTCATGTAGTATTCCAAAACTTTTTGCTTATCTACGATGGCGTCTTCAAAAGTTTTTTCTGCATTTACAAACTAAATTAATATTTAATAAATGGCATTTGAAATTCAAAGCATGGTTTTGTGCTTTCTGGGTAATTGAAAGCAATCAATCTAAATTAATACGCTTGTCTAAATAAAATATTTACTTAACTTTCAAGGAAAATCTCGTCGAGCGTAAACACCATCGCCTGGCACGTTCCGAACGTTCTCGAATTTCCGATCGCGATGCAAAGCCAACCGCTGTTATTCGCAATCAACTGCACACCATTGTGTACCGTTATCCACCAACATGTGTTCTCAGCAGCGAAGAACAGGATCTTTTGTGGAAGTTTCGATTTTATTTATGTTCACATCGTAAAGCGTTAACGAAATTTCTCAAATGCATCAACTGGGAGACACAACACGAAGTTATGCAAGCGCTCTCGTTAATGGCCAAATGGGAACCGATGGATGTGGAGGATGCCTTAGAGTTACTTAGTCCAGTTTTTACACATCCAGAAGTGCGACGATATGCCATCAGTCGTTTGGCTCAAGCGCCTGATGAAGATTTGCTACTATATCTGCTGCAACTCGTTCAGGCTTTGAAATATGAAAATTTCAATGATATCGTCGACTTACATAAACCACTATTTCCCGATCATGATGTTGTACGTTCATTAGATGGTACTTCCACCATCTTAGATCCAAGTTCGATTTGCTCCGATTCACTTAGTGGTGGCTCGTCAGTGATTGCGGCAAGTAACGTTGGATCTCAGCGTGGCATTGTGTCGTCTGTTCTTCAGCGGAATGTACAAACAGAAATATCGACACCAAGCACATCCGCGTCTGTAGCGCCAATTGCAATAACAGGCACAAAAGCAGCAGCAGCAGCATCGGACACACCACCAATTTCCATTCCGACAACAACATCAGCTATAACTGCTGCTGTTGGTATTGGCGGTGGTAGTGGGGGTGGTGGTGATGGCGATAATAATTATATAAATACTGCTTCTGTAGTTTCTGGTACTTCTGTTGCGACTAATACTCTGTCTGGTGAAAGCAACGCAACTGTTGGTCCATTGAAAAATGATCCCGGTGATCTCTGTACATTCCTGATACAACGTGCTTGCAAGAATCCTACACTCGCCAATTACCTTTACTGGTATTTATCCATAGAAGTGGAGGACCATGAGTCCTTACGTAAGCAGGATGAGCGGGTGCATGATATGTATGTGATGGTGTTGCGTATCTTTCTTAAGGTTCTAGAAACCGGTAAGTATAATAGCATGTATAGCAAAAATTGTAGCTGTAAGGCTTAAAACTGCTTTCAGTTATTAAAATTTGAGCGTGACTTAACCGACTATATTTTTCTATAAAATATATTTTATTATTCCTGTTCGACAGGCAATTTTCAATTGCGAAATATTTGGCATAATTTGAAGAAACAACAGATATTAGTGGATGAGTTGGTAAAGTTGGTGAAGATGGTGGCCAAGGAACCAGGAAATCGTAATAAAAAAACCGAAAAGTTTCAAAAGCTTTTAACCGAAACGGATACGTTTAAAATCAACTTTACTAGCTTCGATCCGCGCCCATTTCCTTTGGATCCAGAGATTTATATAACGAAAATTGTACCATTGAAAA